GCACCGCCGCCGTCCCGCCTGGCTGCATGGGCGGAGCACCGTAACTGTTTTTGTTTTGTTTCCATTGCATTGAGTGGGCGACCTCTCTCTCTCTCCCTGTGTGTTTGTATTTTGCTTCACGGGAGCAATGAGAGTGTGTGTGCTGGTCGTCCCACGGTTCGGCTTTTTGTTTTGTTTTACTTGTGTTGTGGTTGAGTGCACGCATTCCGCGGGCTGCGTGTGTGTGTGTGTGTGTGTGTGTGTGATGATATGAGTGGTTTGCGTGTGTGCTATCTGCCTCTCTCTGCCGTTGCTTTATTTGGACTCTCTTGTGTTGCACAGCTGCTCTGCAAGTATAGGCGCTGACAAACACACAAGCACAAGCACATGCACACACATGTTGCACACACGTGGGCTGCCCCTGCACTGCTAGAGAAGCTCTCGGCGCGCTTTGGAATGTCGCAGCGGGCACCATTGGACTCGGCGTGTTGGCGCCTGTGGCTGCCGTTGTCGACGCTCCGATCCGCTCTGTTGGAAGTGCCGGCGTGGTCGTGGGGCGGCGGGAGAGCAGCGGCGTACACGGTGACCTCTACGCAGTGAGTTCACAGTAACTTCCTTGGCCAGTGGCAGTGCGGATGGAAAGGTCATAATGATCGCACCGCCGGCACGCTTGTTGTAGAGTTCCCCGAAAGGAGAGCAGTGAAAGGAGGTTCTTCCGCATGACTCTTTGCATCTCCGCCTCAGGGCTGCGCATCACAATTGGGGTTGCCGTGCGGTTATGCAACAGGGTATGAGCTGCTGGGAGAGCGCGCTGTGCGATGCTCCTGCACCTGTGACTGGTGCTGTGCCGTTGGCGGATGTTGAGTGGATGGTCACACAAATATTGCGACACCACGAGGTGAGCAGACCAAACACCTCGCGTGGAGGGAGCGGTGCGGCTGGTGAGGACTCTGTGCGACGGTGATGGACGTTCTCTCGATGGCGGATTGACGGATTGTCCATTTGGTGGAGTCGCTGCGCATGCTGTGTGTATGGCCGCCTCTGTGGTCTCCTGTTACTCCGCTGCGTGGGCCGCATTCTGACGCATTACTGGTCCAAAGCCATTTTGTTTTTCTTACTCTTCTTTTTCCTTTGTTTCTCTTCTCCCGCATCCAGGCTGCACTGCTGCTGCTGCTACTCACAAGAAACCAAGAAATGCATTTTCCTCAAGTCATGCGCCAGCCACGCCACGACACACCGCTTTTCCCACTGGTGGTGTTGCTGCTGCACCGCCACACAGTACCGCTTTGGGTTTGACGTGCTGAAGAGGAGGAACGGCCCGCTGTTGACTGCGGTGGTGCGTGAGGTGCCGCGCAAGGGACAGGGCGAGATGCAGGCGTACACCGTCGCCACACAGGATGACGACAGTGGCTGGGAGCCGATCCGCATGGCGGTTCCCATGGAATATCTGGAGAGAGGCACGAACAAGAGGAAGAAGTACTGCGATGAGGGAGAGGATGAGTGCTACAATGCATTGGGGCAAAAGGTGTCATGCAAAGCAGAGCATTTCCTGACGGAGGCAAATAAACAATCGCACACTGGAAAGATTCTCTTCGGTGCCGTCAAACTGCACACTGAGCGACTCCTTGTGAAACCCACTTGTGGGACGATAACTGTACCGAGGGCTGTGAACGGACCGTGCAGCCATTTTACGGTTCCTACCAGGCACAAGAGTGACGGTGTGCCGAATGCAGATTTTATCATCTACGCTGCTGCTAGGCCATCGGGCACGGATAGCAGGGCTGTGTGGGCGGCCACGTGTAACACATTGACAGATTTTTGTCCTTCCATTGGCGCCATGAACTTTGATCCGAAGTACATGCCTGACACGGCGTGGAGCGTTCGCGTTGCCGCACACGAAATTGCGCATGCACTTTGGTTCAGCCAGGAGTGTATGGAAAAAAAGAGCCTGGTGAAGAAGCGAGAGAGAAGTGTGCGTGGGACGCACCGCAGGATGGTGGCAGGGAAGCACGTTCAGGAGAAGACGAAAGCGCACTTTGGATGTAAGTCTCTCGAGGGCGTGGAGCTGGAGGATGAAGATGGCCCTCGGGAAAAAGAAATCCCTCACTGGAAGGGACGCCACGCGCTAGACGAGCTGATGACCCCGCAGTTGGTGCCGGCTACCACACGGCTCTGATAATGGCGGTGTTTGAGGATATGGGATACTACCGCGTGAATTGGAGCATGGCGGAGCCGTTGAGCTGGGGCAGCCGCAGTGGCTGCGACTTCCTGGAGAAGAAGTGCAATACAATCGATAATCTTGCCGCCAAGTATCCTCACACGTTTTGCGATGCTAAAGACACAGAGACGCTTCGCTGCACCTTCTACCGCCGTCACGTTGGGACGTGCACCGCAAGCATCGTTGAGGACAAGGAGAGTCTGGTGGATAAGGACGTTTACCCTGTTGTTTCTTTGGAATTTCACGAAATATCGTCTGGGACAACGTACAGGACGTGCTCGGACGAAAATGTGGATTATCTCCGTGGGTCGCTGACTGGCGGTGGCTCGTGGTGCCTGGACGCGGAATTACTGGAGACGAAGGACGGTGATGGCCATAAAAGCGTCAAGGGAGTGTGCGCGCAGGTGTCGTGTGAGGAGGGCACAGTGAGGGAGAGGCACCTCGGCAGCAGTGTTTTTCAGCCTTGCCCTGAGGGCACTGACATCCCAGTGACGTTGAAATATTTTCAGAAAGATGGGAAGATCAAGTGCCCCACTTACGGCGAGGTGTGCACCATTGCCGCGAACGGCAGCAGTCTTGCCATTCCGAGTGCGTTGGTGGGTGGACAGGGTGACGAGCAAGAGAAGGAAGCAGAAGAGTCTGCGGTTGCTTCAGGGTCGCCTTCTCCGGGGAAACTCGTCCACAGCTGTCTCCTGTGGTGTCTGGTGCCTCCATTGAAAAGGAGCCTCCCGGTGCTTCGGCTGCGGGTGTCGCTGGTGGTGGCCTTCATGCCGGTCCGAGGGGTGATCCGGGGGTGCGGACCGAAAGTGGGGACAACACTCAGCGGCGAGGGAGGAGACCTGGCAGTGGAAGCGAGGGAGCCAACAGAGACTCCGGCCCCGACGCTTTTTTTTTTTTTTTGCGCCATCACCCGGCGAGGACGTTGCACGAGCGGAGGGCGACCCGCGGGCGGATTGCCCAGCGGTGATTCCCAGTGCCTCCGTGCCTGCCACTCCGATTCCGTCCGTCAACAGCGACGATTTTCAGACGATACCCGATGCGTTGGTACAGCAGGCCGACAGTGATGGCAGTGTGGCTGCTGCTACTGCTGGCCTCATTCCCTTTGTGCTTCTTGTTGTGGCCGCTGCGGCGGTGGTGGTGGTGCCTCTTTGAGCAGCCGCGGCGGCTGGGCGCAATCAAACTGCGGCAGGGCGAGAGTATTTACTTGGCACATTGACCCCGCACTCAAGATGCGCAAAGCCGTAGCAATAACACTATGATACACTCACTGCATTCCCCGTTTCCTTCTTTGCTTGCGGGTGATGGGCAAAATGACCGGTCTTTTATTGCATTGTTTGTTATTCTGGGAAAAGGTGTTTTTGTTTTATTGCTAGGAGGGTTTAACTTCCGTGAAAACTGTGTGTGAACGAAGTAACATGGAGAGAAAAGACATTTCCCAGCACCACATGTATACACTCGTTTTTGATGCGATTGGGACGAGGGGAAATCACCGTACTCTAATCATGAGTAAAAAAGTAAAGGAAATGTGCTCCAATGGAGGCGGGGTCGTGCCAGCAGCTGTTTCTCTGAAGGACAGGGACGACTGCCTCTGCCTCCGTAATTGGTGCATGCGGCTTTATCTTTTACAGTTTTGCTTGTTTTTGTGACTTTGCCTTTTTTTTTTTTTTTGTGTGTGTGTGTGCGTCATTGCGAGAATGTGGACCCCAAATAATTTATATGCTTTGGCTTTTAATCTGTATGCGCCCTTTTTATTTTCTTGCGTTCCCGGCTTTTTGCATTCGTTTTTGATTGGCTGTGTGTATATTTCGGGTGCTCTGCTGCACTGTGGGTAGTGTGTCTTAATTCCTTCTGTCCCTGCTGTTCTGATTGTGAAAAGACGCTGTGGGTCAGGGTGCATGGCTCCGTGGTTGCGGCACTATTTGTTGGGGTTGCATTGAGGCAGCCCCGACAAGACAGCCAACGTGTGGCTCTTGGGTGCCTCGTTGGGCTCTTTTCCGTCTCCTGCGCGATGGACTCCCATCGTCGGCGCATCCTTTCGTGCAGTAGCGTCAGCGCAACAAGGTGGCAGTTTTGTTGTTGTTGCTGCTTCAGCTGTTTTGTTTTTCCCTCTGGTATTGTGAGGTGCAGGTGTCGGATGTGGCGGCAATGAGCCGAACATAAGGAAGGAGGAGGATGGTGCGTGCGTGCGGGAGGGGCCTGCGGTGTTGGAGCGGTGCGCACTGTTTGTGGGCTTGATGCGCCCCTTTGGTGCATGGCGTGTCTTGGTGTGTCCTTCTTGCCGTGTGTGGTGCCAGCCGGCTCTTCACGATTGTGGCAATGGCGTGTTGAAAGCGGTGTTTGGGTTGGCGCTGGCTGTTCCACCCTCTGGGGCTACGAGGGCGAATGTGCCACGATGAGCGACACCAATCGCGCAGGACGCCTAATCTGCAAGTAAGTGACGCACCGATTGCCGACGCGGCGCGGCCCTCTTGCCTTTTTCGTCCCTCTGGTAGCCTACAGTCTGATGTCTAGCCGTAGTGGTCTCCTCTTTTTTCACTCCTTTTGTGTGTGACCGCATGCACTGACCACAACAATTGTACAACACAAGTATTACAGAGTGCAGGTTTGTGTGTGTGTGCCTGCTGCCGTGGATTGGAGTGTGTGTCGTGCGTGGTGTGCGGCGTACGGTGCATGCCTGGCTGCTGCCCTCTCCTCATGTGGTGTGCCCTCTGTGTGTGTCTGCCGCACCTCTCGTCTCCCCTGTTGCTCTCCATGTCCCTCACTGTGCAGATCAGCTCCACACCACTGAACGACCACACTCACGATGATGACGTGCCGTCTGCTGTGCGCCCTGTTGGTGCTCGCCCTGTGCTGCTGCCCTTCCGTGTGCGTGGCAGTAAGTGAAATTAATGATGACCCCAGTGCGGTCCCCGCTGTGTCAAAGGTACCAGAGGTACAGGAAGCAGTTGAGAAGGAAGTGGAACAAAGCGAAAAAGTAGAGAAGCCAGTTATTGCGGCCGGTATGGAAAACACACAAGGTATGGTATCCGGTGGGTCGTCCAACAGTCAAGGTGCTTCAGGTGTGTCCGGTCATTCCACGTTACAAACTCCTGGCGTTCCGCTACGGCCACCTACTGTACCAACCGTTGCGTCAGGGGAACAAAGTGGGCTGATTGTACCCGAAAAAAAAAAAGAGAAGAAGACGACTGCATCAACGACCACGACGACCACAACCACAAAGGCACCAACCACCACCACGACGAAAACTACAGAGGCGCCAACTACTACGACCACCCGCGCACCGTCACGTCTTCGCGAAATTGACGGCAGCCTCAGCAGCTCTGCGTGGGTGTGTGCCCCGCTGCTGCTTGCCGTATCCGCGCTGGCGTACACCACTCTGGGCTGAAGAGGTGTATTGTGGGCTGTGCGTGCCAGCACTCAACCACGGGGACATGTGTGCGTCTACTGTGGTCCGATGTAAATAAATAAGAGAAAATAATGATTGTGCTTTGCTTTATTTGCTTCCGCTGCCCTGCTGTGTGCTCCATGTTGTTCCTACCTGTATCCGTCACGTTGAACGCAATCCGGAGACACACTCATGTGCAAAACAGGTATACAACTGTTTGCGTGAACGCATTTTTGGGTGCTGGTGCATGCGCACTGGAGCCATACTGTGCAGCTTCCTTTTTTTTGTGTTTCTAGTTTTTTTTTTTTTTTTTTTTTTTTTTTTGCTTCTTTACTTTTGTTTTGTTTAATTTTTTTATTTAATTGTTTTGTTGTTTTTGCTGATTAATTACTGCGGGTTGTGTGTATTTTGCGTTTTCCCTCTCACTGATTCCAACTGCCTCATGGTGTGTGCTACTTCTGATGGGCTGCTGGCATTTGTCACTGTGCGCTGCCTTATGGTGTTGCAGCTGCCATCATTTGTCGCTGTGCGTGGTTGTGTGAATTGTCTTTTCTTTTTGCTTTCGCTCTGCGTTGACGGGGAGTTAGTTTGTGCTGAAGGCTGCATGCAATTGACAGGAGTGATGGCGATGATGATGAATGGCCGTGTGCTGCTGGTGTGTGCCCTCTGCGTGCTGTGGTGCGGTGCGGCGGTGGTGGAGTCGGTTGTCGATGGTGTTGTCGATGGCGGAGTAAATGAGGGTCCATTGGGAAGTTCACAGTCTGATTCTAGAGAGGAAAAGGCAGGAAAACCGGAATTATTTGAGTCAGTCGATGAGGGCTTAGGGTCCGCGGATCACTCGTTGGATACACGTTCAGGAAATAACGTCAATGAGCAAGGGAACTTGGTCAACGAACCACCAACAGAGAATGTTGGGAAGAAAGGAGTACAAGAAGAAGGTAATGAATTACCGGTAACACACATATCTCGAACAAAGGATAAAGTAACACTACCACAAACATCACCACCACCGACGCCAGCAGGAGAAGAACCACAAGCAACATCACCATCACAAGCATCCGGTGTCGGTGAAGGCGATGGTGGTCCCGTTGGGATTGAAGGTACCGGTCGAAATGTTAGTGATGGCAGTCTTGTTGGTGCTAGTGACACTTCTCGTGGTACTCGTGATAAAAAAAAGATCCTAAAGGACGTGAAGGTCCCGTTTCCGGGCCACCTTCCGGTGGTGCTTCTTCATCTCCCATTTCCAACGATGGAGATGCTTCACGGAATAATGGCGGTGCACCATCCACTCAGGACACGAAATCTTTAAAAAACGATGAGCAGTCAGGGCCAACAACATCTTCAGGGAACGCACCGCTCAACAGGGAGACACCGGAGAAGTCAACACCCGATGCACAACGGCACTCCTCTGATACACAAGAAAATGAAACGGGTCAAACTGCTGATGGGGATGCAGCTCACAGCGCCGCGGGGCAGAGTGCCATGGGGACGAAAGGCTCTTTCGGCGTATCGACTACCGCCAGCAACGCACCAACACCACCTCAACCACAACTGCCAGCACCACCAGTACCACCAACGGCGACAGTAACGGGAGCACCGGCAGAAAAACCAACTGCAGAACGCTTACCACCACCGGCATATTCAGCAACAAAAGAAGGCCTAGCAGCAACAACTACAGCTCAAACGAATGATACGGCGACACCTGGCGACAGTGACGGCAGCACCGCGGTCCCCCACACCACCTCCCCTCTTTTGCTTCTTCTTGTTGCGTGTGCGGCTGCTGCTGCGGTGGTGGCCGCGTGAGAGTGAGTGAGAGAGAGCCGTGCACCGCCCGCACACACACTCGTCATTCTCTCACTCTCTGTGTGTGTCCCCTTGCATGGACTCTCGCCCTCACCTCACCCCACGAGGCACACACATAATGTGCCCATTGTATATATGCATGCACACCCATGCATGCCCGTTGGTGCTCTCTTTTGCAGCACACGCACCGCTGCCGTCTTGCCTGACTGCATGGGCGGAGCACCGTAACTGTTTCTGTTTTTGTTTCCATTGCATTGAGTGGGCGACCTCTCTCTCTCTCTCTGTGTGTGTGTGTGTTTTGCTTTACGGGAGCAATGAGAGTGTGTGCGCTGGTAGTCCCACGCTTCGGCTTTTTTTTTATTGCTTTTTTTTTTTTGTAATTTTTTTAATTTTTTTCCTATTTGCTTTAAATTTTTTTGCTGCTCTTTTTTTGTTATTAATTTGTGCATTTTAAATTTCTCACCCCCATCCCTTCGTTTTTTTTTTTTTTGCTTTCGGGGGCAATCACTATGGACGCCTTTTCTTTTCTGCTCTTCCAGCAAACACACGGAAGTATTTGCACAGTGCTCTGCAGTAATGTTTGGCGAGGTTAGGGACGTTGGCTTGCGTCCCGTGCTGAAATGATGGCGTGGCTGCACGATGCCCGCCATGCATGAAGGTGCTGCCTGCTCTTGGGGACATTCTCCTCTCCTCGTTGTTTTTTCTCTGCCGGGTGCGAGCGTTGCTTTGTGTGCTGGCGCGTGACGGACGGTGCCACGATGCCCTTCTCTGGCAATGACAGTCGCTGTGTTCTCGGCACACACCCACACACTCTTTCTTGTCTCTCTGTGGGAGTGATTGCGGCAGGGCATTGCTGCGAGCGTGATGGGGACCACGACGGCGTCACCCCTCGAGAAGGTCCCGCGCACTGTCAGTTGTGGAGCGGCGAGGCGGTTTGCCTGCAGCCCGACTGACAGAACCGCACAGTCGTTTCATTGCGGTCACTCCGTCGGCATCACCCGCTGCGGTGGTGTGCGCAAAAGCCGCAGCCCCGATGAGGATGGCCTCGTAGTTGTCTGGCAGCTCAGAACTTCCGGCCCTTCGCCCTTCAGGATTGCCCTTGCTGCTCGACTGGCGCAGCACCAGCCCGGCATGGTTCTTCTGCAGGAGTGCGGGCACGAGAGTGCCCCAGCGACGAGGCTCATTGGCTGCGGTGTCTTCCGCCAGGCCTGCAGTGGGCGTGCCGGTGGCGTGGCCTTTTTGGTGCGCCACACCCTGCCGTGCGAGCGCCTGTCGCTCGTGGCACCAACTGCCTGGAGGCGACCGCCTTCCGCGTGCGCCCACCGGCCTGCCCCAGCATCTACACGGTGAACCTCTGCAGCCTTCCCACGGCAATGGCTCACGCTGCTCACTTTGCGGGCAACATTCGTCGCGTAGGCCATGCAGCGGTGATTTGCGACCTGAATCTACACCATGAGCTGTGGGACGGTTGCTCACCATCCACGACGGCAGTAGAGGACCTCGCCGCCACCCCAAGCGGCATGGAGGTTGGGCTGTCCCACAACCTGGCACAGGCAACGCGGATCAGCGGCCGCAGCGTCTCGTTTCCAGACGTGACTGCGCAACGCGTACTTCGTGTCTCCCACTGGACGTCCACCCGTTCACATGGACTCGGACCACCATCTGTCATCCCACACTGCAGGGACGGAGGACGGCATCCCGCGACAGGCAGGCATGCTGCCACAACGAAAACATGTCACCATTTCCCTGCGTGAAGCTGACTGTGATGCTTGCACCTCGGCGTGTGGAACACCTCTGTCCGCTGTGACCACATGGTTGGAGATGCACCAAGGCACCGTACGAGCGGCAGCCGTGACAGTCCCACAGGAACCTGTACGGACGGAATGGAGCAGGCCGAGTGTGTTGCAGCGGCAGCCTGCCACGAGCTGAAGTGCTCCGCAAACGGGAGGACCGCAATCATGCCCTCCGCCGTGGCTTCTCCATGCTGCCAGTGGTCCGTGCGAAACAGCTTGGTGCCCTCTCGATCCCAGGCCTGTGATACCCCGAGGCATGGCGGCGCCACGTCCCTGCCCTCTGGGATCGGCTGTGCTGCGGTGCTATTGGGACTGCGTCTGTGCTCTGCCTCCGCCGGAACATCTTCCCGACGTGAGCACCGCCACTCCTTGCCGACCAGCAAGCGGCTGATTGACGTCCTCCTGCCCACTCCTCGGCATACCGGCACGCGCCCTGCAGGTCACAAGCAACCCTTTATGTCGGTGGTGCTGCCCTCCCTCACAGTGAAGAGGCATGACCGCCCCGACCGCCGCCGGAACCTCCACCTGGCGTGTCCACGGCACCTCCTCGTAGAATGACGAGCAGCAGATCAACGTCGCCCTGCCCAAGCTGCAGCAGCGTCTTCTCGTCCGTCCACAATATGAAGGCACACGCCCGACGCACTAACCCTGGCACGCCAATCGTTGCAGAAGGCCTCACACGTGGATTCTGCGACAGCTCCACGGTCTTCCCAACAAGTGCCTCACGCGCAGGTCACTACAGAAAATGTCAAGCGTATCAACGAGCAAAAAACGGACAACGCACCTCTGCAAGCTCCAATGACAGCCGTAGCCCTTCAGCCACTCCTCCGCTACTGCAACCACCACCAGCCGCTGAGCCCCGACAATACACGGGAGGCCTGCCGCACACGCTGTGGGTATGCCCCCGTCCTCGACAACTGAGCATCCAACTATTTGGAAACACCCTCTCGCACGACAGCATCGTTCAAAAAGGAAAAACTGGCCACATCGCTACGGACAGCCCGCAGGCCATTAACGAACAATGGCTGCAAAGTATAACGAAACAAACATTTCCCTCTTCTCAGCATAGAAAAACGTCACCTTCACACTCGCAATTGCCACCAATGAATTCATTGCGTAATACCGCTCCGAGCTGCAATACTTCCTGGTGCCATCCAGGTCCCTTGTCGACGCATTGATGCGGGTGGGCGCCCATCCATTCCTCCCAATGACGCTGCATGTCTGCAACGCGCCCTCATATCCAAAAGGCACGTCCCTCACCACAACCGGGATCGAATTCGCCCTGTGGGCACGCATCGCTTTGTCAGAGGAGCAGGAGCACGTCAGGCTGGCAGCAAAGCACCCTCCGGCACAACACATCACAAACCTCATCACAACCAGAAATACCACCAGCACTGCAGACCG